CAGATTATCCTGGAATTTCAAATAAACAAGAAATAGAAATATGATTTCATTGAAAAATTTACAGCCTGCTCAGATCGGACGTAACACTGATAAAGAAAGGAGAAGCCTTTTATCCACTCCGCAGTGAACGTTTGGTAGAATCAGCATATATTCCGTTTACGGGACGTACGTGAATAAAGGACGATAAAAACGTGAAAATCCCGGGAAAGCCGCAGCACTGAATTTGAATTTGCTCCGGCTACCGTTCAAAGAGGAGTCCTTCGATTCGAATAGTAAAGTGTGCCCGTGCCGCTACTTCTTCTTCTTCTTCTTCTTCTTCTTCTGGCAGAGACGCTCGTTAACGGGCTGCGAACCGTTCCCGTTCTCTCTGACTTTTTTGCCATCGAATTGGCCTTCCCGGAACGAGTCGATAATTGGGGAAAATGGAGACGTCAAATATATTTGATTTCGCAGGGAGCACTTAAGTTCTTTCTCTGGCTCGGATTCATTTCTCGATCAAATTAATTTAATCTCGTCTGCAATCGATGAATCAATATATTCGACACCGAATGTAACCAAATGAATTACGCATCGATTGCCTATAAATTATGTACTTGCTAATCTAAAGCGCTATCAATTACCGAACGAACTTTGCAAAAATCGCGACAGAGCGAACGACCTCAAGCTTAACGGGAATCGAGCGGTTCGTGGTAAAGCTTCTTGCGGTCAGCTTTTCCAGGGACGCCAGAACCGGACGTTCAGGACTGGCGAGCGTGAATGGAGCGGCGGAGGTTCTCGCGCGAGGGTCGCCGGAAGCCGTTTCGGCATTCAGCAGCGGTTTTCCACGGGCAATGCGAGTCCCGCCGATTTGAATAACAAAATCAGCAGGAAGACGTATTATCCGTGCGGCCAGGACAACCCGAGAAAAGTTTATCGCGTGACTCGTTTGCGTTCCGATCCGCCCCGAGCAGCTCGCCCGGCTTCGCGATCCCGAATCGATTCCACGAGGCGACGAAAAACGCGCGCTGGGGGATTCCGATTCAGGGAATCGAGAGCATCCGACGTCATTTGCATGCTCGTTCTCGGTCCTTCAGGGAAGCCAACGGTTTCCCCGTGGCGTGATCGACGACTACGAATGGACAGATTGCAGTTCCATGGAATACATAGGACGGGGACAGCTGGGAAAGGTTGAATAGAAATGATCGGATGTACCGAAGACAGACTCGTAATTAAAAGAACGAGACATTGAAGGTGTGGAACAGTGCCATCACAGCGTAAGAAAGAACAGTAGATTCACTCTTGAATCTCGAATAATTCAGGAGTAATCGATTAATTATTCCGTTAAATACTTCATAACGAGTGAATCTTTTTTGTATCTGTCAGCTACTACTACATACCAATAACAATTAACCCTTTTAATACTGGGCGAAAAAGAAGTGCCTATGGGAAGATAACCGGCCGAATTTCACGATTTTACTAGGGTTTGGAAAAAGCCTCATAAAAACCAAACGGAAAGCAATATTAACCGAAAAACAATTTATTTTCATTCTCTCGTAATGAAATTAAATCATTTATTATAAATTTATTTTGGGATAGAGAATAGTAAAGCGCTGACACTTTTCGCCAGTGCAACAAGGGCCGATATATCGGCCTCTGGCACTAAAAGGGTTAAGTCTGTTTAACCCACAATTTTGAAATGTATGAGTGAGCATACTGTCCTTTCTTATACTGTGGTGCCGTCGATAACGATCAGCAGGTGGAAAAATGAGAATGAACCGATAAATTACGCCTGTAGAAAGACTAGAGTGAAATCAATTATATCCTTGACACTCATTTACATTCCCGGAGCTCGAGACAAAACCGAAGTACAGATTTTTTGTGATTAAGCGAAAAAAGGGGGACGGAGAAGAAAAACTCTGACGGTCGCGTCTTGAGATATCTTCGCATTACAAAGTATGATGAGAGAAGACTGGACGGCCGTCTCGAGTGATCTCCATGAAGCCTCGCGAAGTTAAAAGAATCTCTCGTCTGACCATATCGGTCGAACAGGTGTGCCTGTACGACGCAGGAATAAACGATTAGCGTCTCGATTAGCATCCGCGGATCATATCGATCGATCGCGGCTACCTGCATTCCGAATGACATCTTCGTCGTTTCACAGCCCGATTTCGCAATCAAGCCGCATAGACCCCTCGCCGTCTTGCGGCCCGCGCACAGCTTGATCGAGTTAATTATCGGCAATTCGTTGAGACAGCGGAACACGTTAATTAACGATCGTTGCTCGCCGCGTTGCAAAAACTTGCGATTCCGGCCTTTCGCGTATATGCTACACTCAAATTGGATTTTATCGATCTGGCTACTCAAGAATTTAAGTAAGCAATCGAATTTCAAGAATTCTTATTTCGCTCGGGACGTTACTTGTATTTCAAGTTGAAGAATATCGTTTAAGAAATTAAACGAATTATGTATCAATGGTTCCACCCGCTGAATATGTTAATGCATTCCATTTATCAATCTGTTTAAGACGGAGGAACCAACAAAGAAAATAAGCGGAGGAGCCAACAGGACGAAGGATGGGTTCGAGACCGAAGCGAGAAAAAATGGAGCGGGCGGCGGCGGCGGTGGTGGCGCTAGGCCAGGCGATCGGAAGTGTGTCAAATTACAGAGGCCCGTGATATTAATGACTCCTAATGACATGCCCCCCCTTTCGTCCGCGGGCCCGTTCTCCCACCTCCTCGCGCTCGGTTCCCTGCAACCTACCGGCGAGGCCAGGCGGAGACCTGTCTTCCGACCCGATTCAGGGAATCGGCATTAAAAATACAATTGCTAATTGACGGAGGCTAATAGCAATAAGACAAACAAACGGGCTAAACGCTATAAAGTAAAACACAGGTTGCCATTGGCGAATTGTCCCCTTCTGTCATTCTCTCTCTGCGAGATTCCCCTTCGCGAGTTTCGCCAATTGACGAATACCAATTGCGGCCGGGATCGTCGATCAGTCTCTCCGTTGTAAAGATAACGACCGGTTCACCGTTTCCCAGAGTCCGGGCCAACCGATTTTTTGCTACTCTTCCAGAGTTTTGTCAGTATCCATTCCCGGATTCGTTCTAGGGACTCCATCGTAGACGCTCAAGGCCAACATCGTTCTAGCTTTCTTAAACAGGGACAGTGTTAATGAAAATAATAACCATGTCCAGTTTTTCTAATCCTTCTGCAAGGATCTTCGTCCTTTTCTTCTCGAAATCCGGCGATGTTCAGGTCGATACTCAAAGTTTCACCGAAGGTCATAAATAGCTGCAGCTTTTGTAAAGAATCCTTTGACAGTAGAGATTTCATAGTATTTCTCCTAAAATCATATCTGTTCCCTGTAAATAAAATTGCTCTCCGCTCGAATAGAAGGAGCGTCGGTCTCAAAAGTTTCGCTGATGCCTCGAAGACAGACCAATTGTAATGTGCATCGGGACGGACGTGCTGATCCGGCACGTTAAGGATCCGAAGTCCGTCATTATCGGACCGATCGCTCTCTGGAAGCGATCCTGGACGTGTTACGTTTCGCGACACGTGACAGCCCTGAGGAGAGCCGCGTTTTCCAGACAACGGATCGACACGACGACCGGTCAGCAGAACCGCGTAAGCACGCAGAAACGCAAGGGCTGCACGCGAGCCTAAATTATCTCCCTGCCTCCCTACGTCCCAAGTAAAAGGAAACGCGATCATTTTTTCCTCTTTACTATTATAAAATATAATTTTCAAAATTATTAATCTGGTGCAAGTCTAATGTAATTTCCTTCAAAGATATCAAACGTTCTCTTGTATTTTATATTTTACAGCCAGTAAATTCTTTTACACTTTTCGTATGCATCGAACGAATAATTCGTTGAATCCACCGGTTGGATTTTTTTGGGTTAGAAAAAAAATTCGTTCGGTCCCTGGGGTGTCGGACGACGTCGCCGTTCTTAGGGAGGATTTCGCTGTTTTTACGAGCCGTAACAGTACCTACATAGAAATCTGTCTGGCCCTAATAGTTACAAGCTAGAGGAAGAATTCTCTCAGCCAAATGACAAGCCGCGGTTTTTCGTGTGGTCGTCTTTACGACGAGTTTTACGTGGAACGAATTCGCCTCGGGATGACACAGTTTCTCGAAATGCGATTCACGACAAGATACTTTCGGTGTACAATGCATTCATTTTCCTGTGTTATGCTGATTATATGCTTAGAGTAGAAATTGTACAATATATAGTATTAACCCTTCGTGTGCTCCGGAATTATTCGTGACTTGAAAAGATACAATAACGAAGCCGTGCGAGTTATCACGTATCCTTCGACGGAACGGTCTTAGTAAAGGACAGATGTGAGTCAGAGGCAGAAGCGATTCCGGTGTGCCATTCAGTAGTACGAGGCAAACAATTTTTAAGACAGTAAGTAATAAAACAGCAGTGAGTACGAACCGAGTAAAGAACGAAGGAAATATGAGGTAGGGAGAGACGGGAGGATGACGAATCCTTTAGATTCTCGATTGAAACCCGTCCGAGGTACGGTCGATTAATAAAATCCTCGTGCGGACGCGGTTCGTCCGATTTCTTTGTCGTCTCTGAAAATTTCTCAATCAACGGCGCCCGGTTTCCTTTCCCGCGACGGATTTTCTGCCGGTCGCCGCGGACCGAAGCGCAAGCACAATGTATAAAAGCCTGGTCGTTGCAATTAAACGATGTTGCCCAGGCCCGATCGGGCCCCGGCCGGTGCGGTGCGGTGCCGGGCAAAAAGCCGGCCAAGAAATAACGACGCGGATTTATAATGCCGATACTCGCGAGCCTTTCGCTCACAGACTCCGCCGTGTCGTATTATTCGTTTGTGAAATTTATGTTCCTGCCATCGGCGAAGGTTAAACCCCCTCGGTACGTTAATCGTACCCCGATTGGCCGGGTGGGAGGGGAGACCAGGGAGAGGAAGAGAGAGTACGAGAGAGGAAGAAGAGAGGAAAACGGACGACAGACGGACGATGAAACTCTGTGCAAACTCACCTTGTATGGATTCCGGCGAGGCTGGCTCCTTATCGATTCGGCCGAGCGCGTCGCTTGCTGCAACAAAAAGTGCAACGGGGCCCTCGTTAGTGACGTCGCGTTATAAACTCGCCACGGGGAAACTTGCTTTTCATTTTTTTCTCGTAATCGTCGAAATGATAGATCCGAAACGAATTTCCACTCGCGGTACACGCGGCCCGCACCCCCGCTGCGGTCCCAGATCAACCGCCCGCGTCCACGTCTCTGACCATAAAGATCGGAGACGCGGCAATTAATAAACGATGCGTCTTTCCGATCATTTGTGAGTCAAAAATAGCTTGCGACTTTTAAAAGAACTTTTCAGGACTCGTTTTTATTATAATCGCTATATAAAGTCGGTTTGTATGCTTCTTGTTAGCCACGATATTTATTACCGCGCCGTATAAACGACTCTTGTTAGTTGAAACTTCGAACTTGTTCTCCGCTCGTTCATTTCACAATTTGCTAATCGGTCGCTCGATCGGAGCTTCTCCGAACGCTCAGGCCCCTATCATTTGAGCGCCCACATCGGAGCTGATTAAAGCAGGGGCGCAAACCTGATCCCGGAGATAGCGTACGGTCTCGCTATCAATCGGTCGGTTCATCCTGACACGCGGCCAGTCATTTTGACACACGCTCCTTTTTCGACGATTTACTAGGTCTGGAAAAAGATCGATATTCAAATGATCCGAGACGAGGCAAATGGGAGAACGAGAACGGGTAGATGATGGTGGTAATTCGCAACGAGGATGACCATCATAGATCACGAAGGAAGGAGGATCGTTTCGTAGAGGCGGGTGGCCGACTAGTACCCCCTGGGGACTCGCAACTCACCCCTCAAGGCGACTGTATTCAGATAATCCCACCTTTGCTACGTGTCCACGGGACACACGACATTTCAATATCGGAATGCCCGTAGGATGACCCAGCCGCAAATACGACTGGATCCGGGGCTTGGGAAATAACGCGGGACCTAACGATGACATATCAGTAGGGTGAACATCGTCTGGTAGATTTTTGTGAAATCCTTTTGTGGCCGTATGAAATAACGAAGGACTACTTCGAAACAAATGAAAACGCAAACAATGATTCATATTTATTGCCTAGGTTTATTCTACGGATGGAATCATGAATTCACGGGGTGATCTGAAGTGAGCGCGATTCGCGATTGCCGTGTAATTGGAATAAGAAAGACAAAGGCCTGCCATATCGGCGAATAACGTGCGATTGAAAAAGGAAATCGCTGCGGGAATGCGAGAACGCGTCCGATGATCGTCGCGGCGCGGTGGAAAAGGAACAATGCGTGGTCCTTGATGCGTTCGTTTTCATTATTGAACGAAGGACTGGCTCCTGGAAACTGGCACGCGCTTACATTAAATATGAACATCGACCTCGTTCCTCCGTGGACGTTTTTTCTTTTCCAACGACCGCGTTAGTCACAAAGCGCGCGACTGTCCCTCCGGCGGTTTCCCCCGCCGATCAGAAGGGATCGATTAAAATTGAAACACCGATCGGTGTCACTCGGAATTGTAACGAGAACGATGCAAGCGAACTGAAATACTCCACTATTAGCAGGAATGCGATGGGAACACGTTTTTAAAATGTAACAAACTTGGTATAAATAAGAGCCATTGCTCGTGAAAAGTCTCTTGGGTGTCGTGAGGCTACCTCTTGCGCATGCATCTATACAGTATTCACGGTACGAGCCATGAATTGGGCTCTAAACACGTTCATCTTGTTTACGTTCGGTTACTGAATTTCCAAGTACGAATATACCGTCCATCGGTACTCGTAGAAATAAGAGAAAAATTAGTTAGATTAATTTATATTAACATGGCTCATACAAAACGACGCGGCAGTATACCGTGGATTTAATACTTCCGCATTCACTGAGTACTGGCAACGTCGAGTCACTTATTAATCGGCCTCTGACAGAACGGGATTGCGTGTTTGCGGCTACAAGCCCGTCTCCCTTAGTATTCATAAAGGTCAGCCCTTTCAAAGTACCACCCCCCTCTACTCTCGGTTACGCGAAAACGAGACACCTGTACAAGCCGACCGACGGCCTAGCCGCGGACAGGTGAAACCAGACGGAGTTTTACCGAACACCAAACGTGAAATAATGCAATGGAAATATTGATTAAAGAGTTGTACAAGTTGATTGTAAGTCAGACAGTCAGCGGTCAATACATTCGTTTTAACATTTATTTGACAAAGATAAAGAATAATATTTTAGGCTGTTTAAATCTTGATAGCAATATGATAAGCAAATTATAGAGTGCACACTTATATACCTGTGACCACGCGGAGGATCGAACGGACCTGCCCGATTCCAGGGAAAACGAGATTTTAATATTTAAACCGCGGCGATACAATAAGTGTAATAAGCATAGGAGGCGACCGTTGGTCAGCGCACAAGAGACGGCTGAAATATTAATGCTGACATTTCGTTGCCTCGCGTTGCGTCGCCTCACCCCTCCGGTCCGTTTTCAAGGCTGCGGTTTTCGGGTAAAACGATATTGCACTCGACCATTCCCGTCGCGATATATTCTAATCGCGCTGAATTCGCACGCGTTTTTCCACTTCTCTACGCTTGTCTCATCTCTCTGTTTCTTTCTCTCTCTTACGGTCGGGTCACGCCGAACTGCTACCCCCTGCCCTCGTCGAAGAACCACCATGAATACCAGATGCGGGATCTGGATACAGATCTAGTTTGCGTGGAGAACCGGCCCTCTCATCAATTTTTAAAAACCAGCTTGTAATACGTATGCACCGGCGCTGGATATGGGAACCACGTTTCCGGCGTGAATACAGCGGAGAAAATCGTGCCGCTCGAATAGGGCGTGAATAGCGATGAGAAATCGCTGCTCCGGATGCGGCTCGCCACTGTAGCTGATCAGATTTCCCTTTCGTATTCGTTTCCAATGTAATCAGAAAAATAGAAGAGAACGAAGTTTGAATACTTTAAATAGCGTTCGACCATAATCCACAGAATATATTTTTATTAATCGAGAGAACGGAGCTCGGGATCGTTATACGAGAGGCATCCAAGTTAACCGAGAAACTTGTGCGAAAATGCGAGACGAGTCTGAGGTGGTCGGGGGGGGGGGTTGATAGAGAAACGTGGCGTTCTTGCACGTGAGCCGAGACTTTTTCCAATTACAAACGGCGCCATTCGCGAACCGAGCTGGCGGCGATTATTTTTAAAACAAGAATATTCCCTTCCGTTCCGGAACATAATGAGACGGCGGCGGGAGGCACGATCGGAGGGCGCGATAATGGCGGCCGTTATGAAGAAATCAACCCTCCCCGGGCGCCGCGTCTCGTCGCCCCCACAACCCACTTGATCTTCCGTCTCCATGGCGACCGCCTTGTCCAACGGACCCCCGGCGATCTCGCACACGCCGGGGTGGTTGCGGGCATTCTCTCTTATTACGAGGCTCGCTCCACCCGCGGAAAGGGTTGCAACCCCTAACGCAGCTCGACCGCTTTGGAGACCGTCGCCACCGCGGCTCTTCTTACCTAAGAAACCGGCGCCTTCTGCTTCTTCGTATTCGTTCGATACATCCACAGACAGATATATAAACCATCTATGTTTATATTCCTTTTTTTGAAACTGTTATACTCTGCATGAAAATCTCCAGTGATCGTGAGGCATAAATGCCAGACAAATACTAATGGAAGATGGAACGTTTGATCGAGACTCCCCGTTTCCGTGGAGCGTAACGAGAATTGTATGGGTGCGAGAACGGTCCCGACTGCGTTCCATCCAATTAGACGACGTCGCTGGCCCGTGCTCGTCTTTCACACGTCGCTCGATCGATCATCGGCCGATAATCGTTTTCGAAACGCATAATCCCGCGACGAAACTGACGGATCCCCTAATAATTGCTCGCGAGACGATCGACGGGGGTGACCAGCCTCCGTCCCCGTGTAAAAGCATGACAAACGAACGAGATGAGTTTAGGGAACGGGGAAACAGCATGGACAGTCCTCTACGTTGGAGAACGAAAAAAATGGACGCAGAGGAATCATTTGAAATTGACGAGGAGAAGGGTTGGGTCGCGTGGCACGCATCTGATGCATAAAAGAGCTTTCGAACCTCCCTTTTTTATTACGACACGCGCGGGCTGCCTCTCACCCCTTCCTCGATTCATCGAACGATCCCCCCGCCTCGGTGACGATTAGGAAATGGCGACATACCTAATTTGTTTAAAGTATCATTTTATACCGTTGGTCTACGAAACGTAATACCATTCTATGGATATTTGTATTGCAACGAATTCGAGTAAGTAATGAATTTTCTCGATTCCCAGATACATAACCGAGGCAGGGCAATTAGGGGACTGGAAATCGTAACTCGGCTCTAAACGCGAAAAGTATAATCGGCGAATGGGATCGGTCGTGGCCTCGCACGTCCCTTATTACGGTATTTTCGTTCGAATTACCGTGAAACTGTGCAGGCACGTACATTGGGTCGTTGCGCGCCACGACGACGACGACGACGACGACGACGACGGCGGCTTTTCGTTGCACGTACACCGGGAAAACGAGGGGCCATTAACGGGCACGTAGGGACGCGTACTTTTCGCCCGAGGGGGTGGTTTTCCGTGGCCACCACCGTGGGCACCCGGAGGGGCTGGGAAGGGTTGAGCGTAAGTGCTTTGCACGGCGAGGTAATGGAGCCGACTTATTCGTCAGAGAAACGCCTTCGAGCAATCGTAGCCCAAGCTACAATTGCTGAAGAATGTATTTCCATTCATCAGAGAGCCTCAATCATCTTTTCTAATATGCAAATCTTAATCAAGCTCGAGGTAACACGTTTTCGTATGAAATTCTATATAGAATTTTTCCAAAGGTACAATGGATTCCGTGAATGTCCTCAGGGGAGGCAGAATGAAGTGGCAGCTGCCGACTCATTAACCGGCGCACCTTGAACCCAATTTCAGAATCTCCCATAACGTATAACCCGAAGATTATCAACGTTTCCGAAACACGCGGACGTTATCTACCATCTGGAGCAAGTGCGCTCGATTAAA